TTTCTTCCTCTACTTGATGAAGGCAGAGGCTCCTCAGCTGCGCTTCTCCAGCTGGGGGGGGGAAGGTTTTGGGAGCCCAGAGACTTTGAGGGATGGTAGTTGGCTGGCAGGGCTGGAATCAGGCCAGTTCCTCCCTGCCTGCTTGAAATGGGGGGAGGGGTCCCAGCCAGGTTTGTAGGGCTCCCCTTTTCCTTATTCTGCTGACTTTACTAATGTCTTAATTTAAATAATGACCCTAACTAGTGTCTTGCCCTCCACAGACAGGAGTTCCCTCTTGTGCCTGGGGAGCAGCCCGTACCACTCTCAGTGCATCAGTCTCCCTAACCCATGTCCATCCTTCTGCTTGGCACACGGGGTTGCTGGGAGGCATCTTGGCTGGTGTCCAGTCTTTATACCAGAAAGTCTCTCCTTTTGGCTATTCATTCCCTAACAGGATGCTTGAACTATATTTATTTAATTTATTCTTTTCAAAAGCTGAAATAATCAGTGACCCCCAGCCGCTGCCTGTCCCAGCTTATCTGCCTAGGGCCTGCCTTGCACTCACTGCCTCTGGCTGCCTGGAGCTGCAGCCTTTTGGAGGGTGGCTGCTGGAGGGGGCCAGCAGATGAAGCCACTCTTCTGTTGCTAGATTGCAGATACACCATGGCCTTATTGTCACCGGGGTGAAGGCAGGCCCAGGGGCTTGACACAGCTCAAGCCCTTAGTACCTTGTTTCAGGAAACAGCTGGATAGTGTTTGACTCAGGGCAGTTCCTAAACCCTGACTACACCTGTGGGCCACCAGCTGGGCAGGCAGCGGTGAGGGGAGGTCTGCCCTCCATTTTCCTTCCTTGGATATATGCTGCAGTCATGGTAGATCCCAGGACATGACCACCTCCTCCCTGGAATGTGTGTGTGGGCTGAGCAGGCAGCTCGAAGCCACCCAGTCCTGTTGTCCCAGGTTCTGCCCTGTTCTTCAGCTCAGAATGGAAGTTATTCTTGGCAGCTTGTTGTAAGTTTTGACCCTCAGAGTCTTTGATTTTTCGAGACAGGGTTTCTTTGCATAACAGTCCTGGCTATCCTGGAACTTTGTAGAACAGGCTGGCCTCAAACTCTCTGACCCTAAAGAACCACCCCCAGAAGGCTTTTGTTGGGGAATGGGTTTAGTGGCCCTTCAGATCACCTCAGCCTCCCCAGCCCTGTGGCCTCCATGCTAGTGTTGCTGGCACTCAGTCTGGACAGTCTGTGTTGTCTGATTATTAGCCCAGTATAAACCTCACTGCATCTGCGTGCCCAGACCGAGCAGAGGCTGATTCAGGGCAACAGAAGGATGGCGGTCTCCCTGGCAGAGCCGCAGACCCTGCCTTGTGCCTGCATGGAAGCCCCAGCAGGGGTGGGGTGTTGAGAGTCATACTCTGCTCTAGTCACCAGGGGGCCTGGCTGGCAGAGGTCTGTCTGGAGAGACCTGCCTCTTATCTCCTGGAACAGCACAGATGAGGCAGGCACCAGGCCTCGTAACTCCTTCAGCTGGCATTTTGGGGATCCCCTCTAGATGTGTGTTGCTGAGCTAGCACTGCCAGTTCTGCCTGGCTTGTTCTTGGGGCCAGCACAGAAGTTCTCGATTGTGTTTCAGTTAGAGGTTTTGTCCAGTCAGCGTCCATGCTGTCCCCCAGAGAGCAGTGCAGTCATTCTCTGAAGGGGCCAGAGTCCCAGAGTATCTCCTCCCTCTGGGGCGGCCATGCAGTGTGTGCTAGGGAGAGCAGTTCCTGTAGGCATAAGGCCAGTATTGTTATGCTGGGGGAAGGGACATTATGCCATCTGTGACTAAAACAGGATGTAAAGGGATTGCTGACTTCATCTTGTTAGCTGGGGCTCTCCAGAGCAGTGCAAGTCCTGAGTGATCCAGCTCGACCAGCTGTTGTCTGGTGGTTCTGGGACCTTCTCTCCTTCCAGCCCACTTTCCTCCCAGCTCCTTGGACCTGAGGTTCCCCAGCCCTCCCCACTCCCAAGCTGCTGAAAAGCACCATTCCCACGGGGCCCTGCAGGACAGCCTTCAGGTGAAGCGCTCCAGCTTCCTAGGTAGCTGGCCCAAACACGGCCAGGACTGCTCGGCCCTCAAGTGGTTGGTGCTGGGGCCCAACTGTGGGCTGTGTTTTGTAAGGGCAGTCTGCCTTCACAGAAGGCTCCTCGCTCTCACGTACCTTGGTGCTTCACGCCTTTAATGGGAGTGAAGTTTGGAGCCTCATGCTGGCAAGTTTATCTTCATGGGTGTTTCTTATGAGCCGTCCCTGTAGCTGAGAGGACCCTGTGTGTGTGTCTGCTATGAGGGTAGGGAGGTGACCGCAGGAAAGCTGGCGCTTCAGGGTCGGTCTGAAGAGATGGAGCCTAGGTCTTTGCAGGCCTGCAGGGCTTGCTGCACCCTCATGTCCCCTGCTGACTGGGCTGCTATACTAGATGAGGCCACACGGGCCAGCTGCAGCCTCGATCTGTTACTCCATGCTTTTCTGGAGCAGGCTGACACTAACTTGCAGCTGGAAAGTGGTGATGTATAGGGGTCATGGTCGCTAAAATATCAGGTCGTTTAGGCAGGTAGTGGGTGTGTAGTTGGGGCCCAGGACTAAGGGGCAGAGGGCCATTGTTTCTGGGTTGTGTTTAGGGACATGGCCCCTGAGGAGCTGCAGAGATAAAGATGGTGTCTCCACATCTGTGGTCTTCCCCACCACTTCTCATACCTTAGAGGCTCCATGTGGGAAGCAGGTGAGTGGCTCACACAGCATTAACCCACCTGCCCAAGCTGCCTGTGTATGCGGTGTGTTGTGCATGGAGGGTGATTTGAAGCTTCTTGTGCCTCAAGGCCCAGGCCACCTCAGGTTGAGACTATAGGGCCATCTCTAGTGCCTTCCTTGGGGCCAGTGTCTAGCCTGTGCTTCCAGCCCCAGACACTACCCAAAGCATCTTTCTTTTAAAATCTGTGGTGCCTTCCTGGTGGGCTGTGGATATCCATGGTGTGGGGAGAGTTGGGAACAGCACGGGTGTGTGGATCATATAAATACGAGCTCACATGAAGTGATGTTGATTCCAGGATTACAGTGATTTGGTGCATATTAAATGGGAATTGAAAATCCAAAGACTCTGTAATGAATAGTAAAGATGATGATTTATGTTGTACGATGAACCAAACTACTGTAATTTTGTACCATAAATGCCTTTCTATCAAGTGACCAACAGCTTCTAAATAAAGCCAGATGGTTTCTTGCTTATGTCTGAGGTCAGTCCTAGCTGTTCTTCTCTTCCCTCACCTCGGGCTTTGCTCACTGTTCTGTCCCTTGGTGCTGGTCCCAGGGCTTTTCAAGATGGACAAGAGGAGTTCAAAGAGCAGCAGGCCCCAGGGCACAGACTTCTGTGCTCCATAGATTTGGAAGTAACCGGGCTTCAGGGCTAGCTAAGCACAGGTGGCAGTGTGGATGTGCGGGTCCTCAGCTGTCAGGCAGGGCCGTCACCATCTGCTTCAGCCTGTGGGATAGGCCCCACTCTGGACTCAACTAGAGAGCGAAGAGCCCTTCTACTGCTGCAGACATGGACATACCCTGGAACAGCTGTTTTAGGAAAGAGGCATCAATTAGGGCTGTGGCTGGCCAGCAGGGATGGATCAAGTCCCTTTGGGCTGTGGAACCTGACTTTAGGCCTGCTTACCAGGATGCCTCTGCTTCCCCTGGAGCGCCATTTTCAGCAGACAGGACTTGCTGTGTTTTTCTCCCTGGCAGTGCATCATTCTGCCCAACTCTGGTAGGTAGAATGTCCTGGGAATGCAGGGTCAAGGCCACAGCCACAGGCAGCTCTGTCTGCACAGGGCTTGTTTATATTCCCAAGTGCGGCAGAGTTATTCTCAGACATAAGCTCTGCCAAGAGGGACAGGAGTGTGGCAGCCAGGGGCAGTCCTGTGAAAGATGAGGCAGGATTCTGAATGGAACTGATCCAGCCTTGGATGGGTGAGGGGTGGGGTGGATACATCATCTTTCCTAGGCTGCTGTTACCTGGCAGGAGCAGGAGTCTAGGCTGTACCAAGCCCTGGCATGGGCTCTAGTGGCTGTCACACTTGATCCACTCTTTGCTTACTGAGTTACTCAAGGAACGTGTGCATCAATCCTGAGCCTGGAGTGTGGCCAGCGCCAGGGCCTGGAGGGGCTGAGGAAGCCACTCTTGGATGCAGAGAGGAGGGGGTACGCCAGGGAGATGCTTAGCCATGTAGTGCATGTGCCCAGGCTGAGGAGACTCAGGCTTAAGTTGAAATAGGAGCTAGGGCCAAACTATGCAGACCCATGAGGTAGGCTGAGCCATATGCCATCCCATAAAGGGAGACTGGTTGTTCTCAGTCTTCTAAGGAGGGAGGGTCAATGGATCTGCCTGTGGGACAGGGAGGGCTGGGACGTGGTCCTTGCTCTGCTCACCACTGAAAACCAGAGCAGCAGAACAAAGCTACTGCTTTGTTCCTGCGCCTCCAGATGTAGCTTCGGAGCTGGCTGCTTTAAGAGGCCCAGAACGGGGCTGGCTACAACAGGAAATGGAGAGATTGAAAAGCAATGGCACCTTAAGCCTGCCTGTGATCCTGGGGGTGAAGCCTTACTGGGTGGCCCTCTCCAAACATGGGCACTGGGCCACTGTGGTTGGGGGCTTGGGGACTCTAAAAGATCCCTTAGGGTGACCATGGCGCCCAGGGTCAGGTGACGGCAGAGGTTCTTCTGCTTGGGCTCTGGCACTAGGATCTCCCAGCTCCACGTCCCTTTGCAAAGTCTAAAAGGCAGAGCTGTGGGCAGGGCTCTTGCCTGGAATGTGAGAGACTTCAGGTTTGATCCCCAAACTAGAAAACAAAAACAAACCCCTAAAAATGCATAAGGGAGGGTGCATAGAACAGACACCTGTACCCACTTCAGCCCCTGCCCCTTAAATATTCGGATCCAAAGAAATCCCGGACAGCTTTTGTTCAGTTATACATTTTATTCTCTAATAGGTACAATACTAAAATAAACACAAATTAAAAAAAAGTTTTATTAAAACAAAACTGTACAAAAAAGCAGTATACTACATTTTAATTACAGAACAGTCTACTGTCCAAAAGGCACTAATCCAGAATAGGAGTACAATGAAACAGGACTCGTCGGAACTATTTAATCAATACAGTAGAGCCCTTGTTTCTTTGACGATTTACATCTAGAAACAAGGGCTTCTTGCTACAGTCATCATCACACATTGTTATAATCCGAGTCCTACTGGGAAGGTGCAGTATCACTTCCTAGAGCAGGCTCCACCCGGGCCCAGGAGGGGCTGGGAGGACATGGGCAGGCACCCAAGCTTGTCTTGGCCTCCGATGGGTTGGTTCTGGCCATTACTGGCAGCCACTCTAACCCCTCTCCTGTTTAGCACCGGCAAAGTGGGTTCTGAGATGCTCCAGATCAAGGGCAGGAGGTCAGGTGACAGCTCCGAGAGGGAGGCATCTGGTAACCCTGTCTAAAAAGGCAGCAGCTACCTGGAAGGGGTGCATGGCCCAGTGACAGCCAGGGGGCTGGGTGCTACGCCAGGCAGAGCCACCTGGGCAACAGACAGAAGTTCCCCTTGCTCCCTGGGTTTGAGTGTCCAGTGGTCTTTTCTGGGAAGTTGGTTTCTAGAAGGGGAGTTTGCTTTCCAGAGACAAGTCAGAATGCCATGCCTAGCCTCAGGGTGCAGCTACTTCCCTCCCTCAGGGCCGCCTCATGACTCCCTAGGAGCACGATGGGAGTCAAGCCTGCTCCCTCTTTGGGTGGCCAAGACACCTCTCTGCACCCCAGCTTTATCATCACAGACTCCGGCCTAAGGAAGAAGGATACTGCAGCTTTCCAAACAGTGTCATACACAGAGAAGACAAAGACAGGCATCTGATGTTAACAAAAATAGTAACAAAGAAATGGGATCAAACCAAATCTCTTCTCACAGCGCCCTATACTACACCCTCCTTCTGCTTAGCAGAAAATTGTACGTACACAAAAATACAAATACACAATTTTGTAGAACAGTCTGGTTTTAATATATTTATATATATTTATATTTATACGAGTGGCAGGTTAGTTCATTATATAGAGCTTTTTGCACTTTTGGCTCATATGCAACAAGGCTTATAAATTCAGCTTTAGCTTTCATTCAGATTTTATAGCTTTTGAACAATTTTTTCACATTTAAAGCAGCATCCAATTTGCACTAGGAGTCTGTGGTGATTACGGAAAAGATGGGGTCAGGAGGTTATAGGGTGGGACGGTATACATTCCAGTGTGTGTGGCATGTAAGGAGGATTCCATGTGGACAGAGCTTGCCATGATGACCCCTTGAGGTAGACTGAACACCTTACAGCAGACTCAGACACAGGTGCAACACCCTCAGGGATACATGGCACACAAGATGGGGACAGAGACCAGAGGAGACACCAAAGGAAAACACAGAGACTAAGACACACAATGGCCAAGGCCAGGAGGGCGCTCTGCCCTCTTCCCCCACCCATCCAGCAGGATCCTACACAGCCACACTGAATGCCTGCGGGCAACCTCAAGACATCGGGTCCCTGGTGTCTGGTCCAAACATAGAAGCCTGCTTTCCACTTCCCAGCTGGCCGTGCCAGCTTGTTCCCAGCCCCACGGTGAGCTCCACCAGCTGTGCTCCAACAGGAGTGGCTGCCACTCCTCAGCACTCGGCTCTTCCTAGAATGTTCAAGTCCAGTCAGGGCCCAGAACCCTGACCCTCTTGCTCTGCCTCAGAGCTGTCCCCCCTCAGTCATGCATTTGGTTGACATTCCTCAGTCTCACTGGGCCCAGCAGGTGCCCGAGGCCATGAGTGCTGCATCTAGGGGAGTGGGTAACAGCACCCCTGGGGGCAGCACGGTAGGCATGCTCCACAGAGCCTCGTTTTCATCACCACTTGGCCACTCACCCACAGCTTTCCTTTCTCTAGGTGAGGCAGTTTTACTGGTAAGGTCGTCCATGCCTGTTACATGCAGAGGACCAGTGTTTGCACTACCCCACTGTCTGAACAAAAGAAACCCCGGGTGTCTGGATATGGACTGTTCCCGTCCCACTCATCACCTGTGTTAGACAAACAGAGCACAGCACAGTCACTAATCTGTCCTATCCCTCATGTAAATGAAGGCCTGAATCTAGTTTAGACTTGATTTTCAAAACGAAACAACGCTTTTTGAAAAATGCACATTGGGTCTTAATGCGACTCTACTGATGATGGCCTTTGGCTCCAGTACTCACGGTGGCAAAAGGGCACAGGTCTATCAACCACGATCCCTGCCTGTCAGCCGTCTGAGCTGGAATGTTCCCCCAGTGCTAACAGGCAAAAGCTGTCTCACGCCTGCTGCTTCACTCGGTAGCTGCTGAGCTAGACCTAGCTAAGTAGATTCCTTAAAATCCACCTAGGATTCGAGACCACAGTCACATCAACAGAAGGAACACAGGAGACAGTGACAAAGCCAGCCCTCTCCCCTCGCTTGCCCCTGTGACCATTCTGAAGGCAGAATGGCAGGGGCACTGGGTGGATGGCGGGTGCACGACACCCACCCTGAGGCTAGGTACACTGGTGGGCAGCACAGGGCACAGGCCAACTCTCGGCAGGTCCCAGAGGTTTGTAACTTGCTTAGGCACTTAAAATAAATGAGAATTTTATCCTGGAAGGTACAGCAGACTCGACTCAACCATGACCACCATGGAGGAGAGGTTGAGCCCATGATCTCGGAGAAGGCTGTAGGCTCTTCCAGGGGAGGCAACTGCCACACTCCTGGCACCCTGTAGAGAGTGTCCTATCTTGCAGCCAGTGAAGTTATGTAGTGGCTCAGGGCCAGTCTGGCCACTGTGGTCCCTGATCTGCACCTGATGAGATGCAGCTACCCTGACACTGCTCAGGGTCACTGTGAGAACCACCCAGAGAAGGGAGCTTTCATAGTGGTGTTGTGGGAGAACCAAAGAGCAGGAAGGAGAAAGCTTGCCAGAATGACCAGTGCTTGGAAGGAAAACTCTACCCACCCTGAGAACTTTGGTTTTGTTTTTCTGGTGCCCATTTTCAGAGATGCATGATGAGGTCCCCACAGATTTCAGTACAGTCAACATGGGCATCAAGGCAAATGATAAAGGGATTGCTTTCTGAGAGCAGCCACGAGCACTCACTCCACTCAGCACACACGACTCCCACAGGCACCTCCCCGCCTGCAGACAGGGCCCAGGAAGCATCAGCAGAGTGGCTGCTGTTTGTGTTCATAGAACTCTAATGCCATTTGGTTTTCTAGTCTAATGGCCGCAGTAAGCCATGGAGTGGACAGACAGCCTCACAGGTTTAGGCTGGGCTCTTAGTTCCAGTAAAGCAAAATGGGAGGGGTTTCTGGGCTTAGGAAGATACAAAACAAGACTGGAGAGATTTGACCTGGAAGCACTGAGAAACGAAATCCTGGAGGGAGCAACAAACCTTCAAACACAAGTCCCTGGGACTGGCCTCTGTCTTGAGCCCTGGGTAGGCATCAGGCACTGATTTTATTCCACAATTTCCATGGCACCTTTGGCCACCAACAGAGATGCAAAATCTTGATCATACCAAAATGAAAGGCACACATATTCTTTCTCTCCAAATCAAGGTGTTGGGGGCAGAATGAGGATAATGTTAAGACCCCCCACACACACACACACACTCTGGCCAGCTAGTGTAGTAATAAGGTGTCAGAAGCTCCAGGAGCTGGCCTGCTGGGTCCCTCAGCCTTGTTCCTCAAGTACTTTTCATTGTCTTGGGCTTTAAGGCTACCCATGATGTGACAAGAGATGGGAAGAGGACAGTGACCCAGCCAACTCTTGGAGAACCTACTTTTGTGAGAAAGAGCTAGAAAAGAAGGTGGGGAGAGGAGTGGAACAGGTCAACCTGAAGATCTCCCTTATTCGGTGCCTGACCAATACTAAGCCTCCACGTGATCCTGAGGCAGCTTGCTCTATTCCTGGATTCCAAATATTAAAAAGTTCTTATTCTAGGCCTAAATTTGGGGACGTCTTCAGGCATTTACTTATGGGGTGGTCAGTGTTGATGAGGAGCCAAGGTCATGGCAGCGTGGCACTGATACCCAACACCAGAACCTTGGATTCCTCAATGCCCCTACCTCCCTTTCTTGTGGTAGAGGGACAGCAGGTTCGTGGGAGTGTTCACCACACACTTGGGAACTCAAGCATGATGCCCAAGTCCCAGGAGTTAAGTGCTGCAAGAACTGAAAAGAGCAGGCTTCAGGGCAGCCGCCGGCAAGTGGGGAGGGCTGGGCTAGCACCCCACAGCACAAGGCTGCAGAGAAGAGGATGACAGAAGTGTCTGTGGCACTGGGGTGACCCAGTGCTGCCAGAGAACAGCAGGCAGGTTGGCAGTGACCTCAGCAGAACAAGATGACACATTCCCCAAATGCCAGCATCTTCCGATTCTTACAATAATCATTTTTGGGATTAGTTTTTTTTTTTTTTTAAAAAAGCTATTCAGAGGCAAATACTACCTACACTGTCCTTGACAACTAAGCCAGTTTTGCGTGTTAAGGTGGGGGTATCTGTGGGAATATAGGACTATGTACCTTGGGTAGTATGTTTTTAACCAGTGGCCCCCTGGAGCACCCAAGCAGGTAACATTAGGGACTTCTAGTTGAATGCCAATTCTGGTCCCCCAAAGACTCTACGTACTGTTGTGTGTAGTACGTATCGTACAAATCACAAAATCAGCCCAAATAGTGACTTTTCAGAATCGAATCAGAAGCTGAAACGTAGATAACCACTATCACTCAGCAGCTGGGGAAGTAAGACGGTTCAAAATCCACTGTCCTCAGCAAGGTCCCAAGGAGCGCACGTCTGACCTGTGCACATTTCACTGAAGGTATCTGGAGGAATCAAACCGAAGCATCGCCATGAACAGAATCTTTTCCGCACTCTCTGTGTGTCTGTGTGCTGAGGGAAGAGGGCGATCTAGACCTTTCTAGGCAAGTACTCGACTCCAGCCACTCCACACGACAGAGCTAAGACCAGCATCCTGGTTGACTAGTGTTCCGGTGAGAGGGGCACATTCTGTAGAAAGGGTGAAGACACACACACAGCTACTACCCAAACCCACAGTGTCCAGCCTGAGAAAGGACAGGGCTCATGGACTCCAACTAACCTCACCGGAGTCTTGAGCCTCACGGGCAGCAGAGAGCTTATAAAAGGCCACTTAGCACTGGTAGCTGCTGGCATTCCTGTGGACCCTTCTGCTCCTCTAACTGAACCAAGGCTCCTGCAAAGGATGACTAGAAAGAAAAAAAAAAGCACAAACTAAGCATCAGCTGGAGGACTAGCAATTCCTGCAGTTCCTGGTCATGAGGACGCCACAGGCTAGGAGGATTACATGACGCCTACCTGAAGGCACAGGCACACAAGGAAAATAAACAAACTGGGGGGCTTCTGAAGGGTCAAGACGCAGCACTGACAGCAGACTATCACTAGGAGGCGTGCAATAGCCAAACAAGCCTGACACGAGCAAGATGGGGTGTGCCGACACCTGCTCCTAGGGCCTGAGCTCACACCTTCCTGTGTGTACCTGTTCTTGTCATGTTATCTGTTCTGGGCCTTATGGTCCCATAAGGAAACCACTACTCAACTCTGTAAACTCCCATGTGACACTTTCTGATGGTCATGGCAGTGCAAATAAGTTTCCAAGGAAAAGCCTAAAAGTATCACGAAGCCCAGTAAAGCAGCAGGTATCCCCAGGAGAGGTGCCCCAGCTACCGGCGAGAGGATGGAGACAGAGGCTCTGCGAGAGGCTGTCTCAGTTTGCAGACTAGTTTCTGGCCAAAGGAGACTAGGTTGAAACTGGACACGAGAGGTTTCAGAGAATTTCAAAGTCAGATGCAGGCAAAAAGCAGTCCATTCTGGACCGGATATGATTCCCAATCCTTTCTCACCCGGGTGAGCCATGAATCCCATGTCATTATTTTGGTTTACTGAGCTGTTGTTCTCAATGTTCTCGGGAGCATTAGTGCTTGAAGGGAACAAGGATGGGTGCTTTGCTATTCTCAATCACATAAAGGACAGAAATCCTCTTAATTATGACCATGCCAATCTACATCCTGCTAAAACAGCTAATTACATGTCAGGAGGACACTCAGTCATTCGGAACAATTGCCATTATACTTTATATATTCATTCTTCGCTCCCTCCTCAATTACCATGGTTACAGTTCGAAAAAAGACTCAGCCAAACCTTCATTTGATCACAGTACACCACCATGGATTTGTGAGTTAATTATGGCTGTATGGAGCCAGTCTTATTTAAAGAGAGAGAAGACGGACACGGAGTCAGGGGAGCTGGCCTCCTGGGTATTCTAAGTGGGACACCAAGTTCCTCAACAATAGTACTCGGCCTGAAAACAGAAAGGGCTTGCAGCGAAGGAAGGCAGCAGAGTTCACCTGCTCCTAGCAAGGGCTAGTGGTGAAGGGCGGGATGGTCTTGGGAGGGAACCCCACCAGTGGAAGAAGACTTTTCACATCTCCCCCAAGAGGAACCAACTCCATTCAGTTCTGATAGATGTCAAGAAGGATAAAGCAGCTTGGGAGGACATCTGGGCCCTTGGTGATGAGATGACAGACAGCTGAAGGAACCTTCCCTCTTGGTGAAAGAAGAAAATCAGTGTTGTGGAGGTCTGGGTGACTCAGGTTACTAGCCGATTTTTCTGATTTTTTTTTCTTAACAGCCCCCCCCCCCCCCCCCCCAATAGTGTAATGAAGTAGCTACAGAAACCTCTCAGTTCTCAAACTTCAGTTTCTAACAGTCCATAGATGGGCACAAGGCTTCATTTCTGAGCATCTGTCAGACCTGTATCTGCCGCAAGCATAATGTTTGCCCTTCAGTTTAGAAACAAATGGTTTTAAGAAAAGCCTTTTGGAACACACTCTGTAGGAGAGAAGCTTCTGCAACCAGAACACCAATCTGCCTTCATACGTCAGTTCTCTAGTGCAATGAAGGCTCCTCTTAAAGTGACGGTCATCTCTGAAATGGAGGGTGTGTGATGAAAGAGGATGTGCAGGGCAGGGCTCCTGTTCTTAGCACAGGCTACCATGACAGCCTTAGAAAGCGGCTGGCCATGCATGGCTGCCTCCCTGGAAAGCCTCACGGTTGTCCAGGTGCTTACCATGACAGTCACAACACATGCTACGGAGATGATTGCTAAAGGGTCTTCAGAGCTCTCGCTCAGGTTGCTAAATTTAGTATGGCTGATAACTGGTGGCCCGATCCCGAGTAAGCATACTTGTGCACACACAAAGCATGTGCTCGCACACAAAGGAATGCTGTGCACGTGTAATTCCTACCCCTGCCCCAGTGCATCCCAATCCACTCCCACTCAAACACACGCACAGCAGAACTGATCGATGCATCCAACCTTCACTTGGAGAATCGTAAAAAATGAGTTTGGCTCAGTATAGCTGTAAGTGGACTTGGCTGGCCTTAGAACAGCCTCAGTGACCGCAGTAGTAAAACATAGCTGATAATGATAGCAATAGGGAGGCGTCACAGAGATGCACAGAGACTGATGCACGGCAGGAGGCAGAGAGCCTCTGAGCACAAGACCACCGACCACAAGAAAAGTTATTGCCTAGGAACTTGGTGAGGCTCATGGGAAAAACTCAGGTTGTTCTTTGAACAAGAGGAAAATAATATAAAAGTAGAGTTGAGTTAAATGGGAATGTTTAGGATTTTTTGTTTGTTTGCTTCTCGAGACAGGGTTTCTCAGTAGCTATAAAGTCTGTCCTGGAACTTGATCTGTAGACCAGGCTGGTGGTGAACTCACAGAGGTTGGCCTGCCTCTGCCTTCCAAGTGCTGGGATAAAAGGCGTGAGCCACCACCGCCTGGGGAATGTTGCCCATAATCTCAGCACTCGGGAAGCAGAGGCTGGTGAGTCTCTGATTCTAGGCCAACTCTGGTCTACAGAGTGAGTTCTAGGACAGCCAGGGCTCCACAGAGAAACCCTGTCTCGAAAACAATAAAAGGGGATGCAGTGAGTGATGCTGCTTCTAACCAAATCCTTTTTGGGATGAGAGAGAATAAAGATTTGAAGGAAACATTCTTAGAACAGACTAGAGAAGTCATTGTGGAAAGGGGATTATTCTCAGCGTAGACAAAGGAAGTGGGCGTGGCAAATGGAGTTTTGGCTACCCAAAAGAGGAAGGAGGGTTCGAGTCTGGAGGTGGACTAAGGCTACCCACTAAGCTTGTGATCAGACGAGAGAAAATGTCGTGTGAAGTCCGCTCCAGACAGATGTAGTGCTGACACAAAATGGAAGGAGGGGATGGAGAGAGACGGAGTGTCCAGGTGGACTAGGGCCCTCTATCGCTGGTGCCTGATGACTGTGGCCAAGAAGAATTTAAAGCAAGAATTCCTAAAGCTAGAGAGCTGAGATGACTGTATCACAGCTCTCTGTATTCTATCCCCACAAGGTGAAAATAAATCCAGGTATCTGCTCCTAAAAAACTAGGTGTGGCTGAATGATGAACCTCCCAGGAACTGGAGCTCTGGAGTGGGGTACAGGAGTCCAAACAGGCTTCCAGCTCACTCTTGTCTTTCCAAGGTCACGGAACCAAGGGGCTGTCTGCCTCTCCATCCCAGGTCCCTCCACCTGTGGCCTGCCTTGTGTGGCTGTTGTGAACTGAGGGCACTGCACAGTCGCACACAGGAGAGCACTGTACTGCCCTTCCTGGCTATCCTCTGCTGCTGGCTGCGACTGTCTTTAGATAGGCAGGAATATCTTAAGATGGTCCTTTGTTAACAGGTCGTCATGTAAGGTACTAGAAGGTGAGAAGTTGCCTTCCTACCCAGCAATAATAACTCAAAGTGCCTGAAAAAAATAAAACCACAGCACACTCTCTGAATGCCTGCTCCCCTCCCTTCAACATCTTCATTGGTCAAGAAGGCACAACTCCTGACAGAGATCCCCGGGGCCACAGAAGTGCAGGAGGAAGTATGAGCAGAGACAGGCAAGCAAGAGCACAGCTCTTTTCCTTTCAGCTGGGAGGCTTAAGTTTCTAATTTGATACCTAAAACCCGGAAAATCTTCAGGAAAGATTTACCACCCAAAGGAGGAGTGAATGTGGCAGTTCTGAGGCCATCCCGAGAGCTCAGGGACCGGGACACAAAAGTAGAACCCGGTGACCCCCAGGAAACCACCTGATAGTAGATTTGAACCTTGTTCCCAAAGAAGCAAATTCCCACTGTGGGTCAGAAAGCGCAGGTTCGGTGTAAGGCTGTGAGTCTGTGGGCATGCGGCAGTTTCTCCAGCAGCAGGACCAGCCACTGTGGCAGCTGTGCCCTCCCAGGGCCACCACACTGTCACACAGAGCTGAAACTGCCTGCACCAGCCAGCTCCAGCCTCAGCCGTATCCCCTGCTGCATTCTTCTCTCTCAAAGGTCTTAGGACAACAGAAGGGTTTGCTTTTCTGTTGCAGTCAGAGTTCCCGTAGAAACTGGAGCTGTCGGAACAGCTGAAGTCTGTTCCCTTGGTTCCCTTGACAAGGCGAGCGAGAACAAATGACAAGAGCAATGGCACCATAAAGAAATCGTCAGTTACAATGACCTCATGGTAAATCATGGATGTGGCTCATCAGAAAAATATGGTTCCCCCTCCTGTTCATTCTGATTCAACTGAGAATGAGCAGACAAAACCCGACCACAATGGAAAGACACAATAGGTATATTCCTCTGAGTAAACAAAAGCAAAGAAAGACAATGCAATCTCCTAAGTGAAATAAAATAAATCAAATAAACCATGGAAGATTCTAAATAGGTGTGGGGCGCTCGTTCCTGAGAATAAGAAATGCTACTCTTAAATTTGTGGGTTCAAGTACTACAGTAAGAGAAGATGGCTCCATTTTACTTCAGTTTTCGGAGCTGGGAAAAACACACGTTTCCCCTGAAATCCATAGACAGGAGCAGGACCAGGCCCTACCTAGTAGTGCTCTTCAAAGTCTCAGACGTAGGTGGGGTGGCATCCTCAGGCCCCTTAAAGACGACTCCTCACATTCATGTAACCAAGACTGACAGCTAAAGGGATCATCCAGTCAGAGTGTGCCCCAGTAAGACCAGCTAAGTGCTGTGGATACTGAGGATCCGCCAGCAAGAAGGGGAGAAGGAGGGTCAGTGTGCCCTCCTCTCTCAACAGCTCTGAAGTTAAACACATTTGGTGAAGGAGGAGCTAAGGAGACAGTACCTACTTTCTGTCTTAGAAATTGGTTCAGGTAATGGACAAAAAGACGGAAGCCCTGCTTAATGGCCCACTCCACACTGCCCTCCAAACAAGGCTTTGTCGGACACACAGGAGAGATGGGATGAGGCAGAAAACACTTAGCCTCTCTCAGACACACACTGTGCCAACACACTGAAGGCTGCTTCTTCTTGCCCACAGTGACAGTGTGTCATTTAATCAGGTTGCCAGGATCATTTTCATACAAGGCCAGCAGATGTAATTTCCTTTGATGCATGAATAGTTCATCATTTTGCTACTAGATGACAAGGTGATCGCAGGGTGACTTTATAACATAAGTTCACTGTTTGGTATTTTGAGTTCTCAAAATGAAAAAAAGATTTATCAAATATAAATATCTTTAAAAAGTAACAAAAGTGCTACATATGTGATCAAGGAAAAAAATTCCATTAGTTACTGCCGCTTAAAGTAGATTAAACTACAAGTATTACCACATCCATTATCAATATGGCTTCCAATTATTAAATAAATTGCCTATAGCAATATAGCTTTCACACCTCCACAAGGACAGAGTAATGGGAGCAGAGCAAACACATCCTGCTGCGTCCCACACTCAGGATATAAGTGGTAAATGTCCCCTGCTTTTTCTGCCCCTAGCTAGGCAAGGATCTGCATCTGTGACAGTCGAGGCAGCACAGTCCCCAGGAGAGTTCTAGCAACCCTGGGAGGCTTCAGGTGATGGGTACAAAGCTTGACCTTTCACTCACTTGACCTCAGCTCTATCCTCAGAGATGTGTTTGGTAGCAGGGAGGGGGCACCAAGGAGACAAAGCGACCTGCATGGTATCTCCAGCACTCTCCCGGGAAGGCTGGCACCACGCTGTGGAATGTTTAGCGGCTCTGAGAACTGGGCTTAGCATCCATCTGACACTCAGCTCATGCTTTCCCCTATGCTCTCAAGCTGGGTTCTGCTTTTTCAGAACGTGTTTTTTTTTTTTTTGTCTTTTTTCATTTTAGGATCGTGGTCCCAAAGGCAGAAGGCAGTATGTTATCTACTAAGTCACACAGCTTGCGAGAGGAAAGGATGTTTGTGTTGGCCATATTAACACTAACCAAGGTCTGAGCTCGGGATTCCAATGACGTTCTTAGCACAGCACCCAAAGAAGTATAGTCTAGTCACGCTGTGACTAGGAGGCACGGCTTATTGCAGCTGAAATCAATGACTCTCCGGCTGAGGCGGGGCTCTAGTGTTCCTTGTGCTCCGTGGCTACTTCCTGGATGGTGTCTGTTGGTCCTGTGCCACTACCTCAGCTTGCATCCTGTCAGTCTTGGGGCAGGAACAGGGTACAGCCTAGTGTTACATGAATCTAAAGGTACCCAAGATTTTACACAGAGCCTACTACTTGAGAACCGAGGGTTATCTATATAACTGGAAGCACTCTCTTGGGATGCTAAGACGGAGCAGCAAGATTTCTTTAGCCTCGGGGGCTGGGAGAGGGACGTTTGTTTGGTTGGTTATTACTTACTGGGATTTTAATACTGAGAGAGTATATGCAAAGGCGGAGGGCACCATGCCATCTTCACAGAACAAGACCCTAACGGCTACCTGACATACAAGAAACTGTAAGTTATACTGTAAGAACACATGTTAAGGACCGAGGAAAGTCTGCTAAGGTGCTACGTCTAAACTAAGTAACCGTGTGATCCTCCCTGATCAGTCATCATCCAGGGCCTCTGTCTTGATCTCATTGGCTCCCTGCCGGGCCAATGCCAAGATAGTGTGGTTGACGGCTGCCATCTCCACAGCTAGTGAGATGGGATCTTGGTGGTCACTATGGCTCGTGCTGTCATCCTAGATGTGTAGAAATAAGAAATGAATGTTATTCGTTGGCTGGTAACAATTCTCAAGCTCACAAAAGGCATGCAGGGTGCCGTGCAGGGGACAGAAGCATCTGTGGAGGAAGCTGCCGAGTGCATCTCACGGTGGAGTGAATTGTATTTAAGTAGACACTGAATGGACAAGGGTCCAGAGACTTCAACTGGTTTTGTGACTCAACAAAAAGGACAAAAATGATTTGATTTGTTCTTTTTTTGCACTGAGAATTAATTTATTCCATCAAAAAATTGCTAGTGGTGATCAAACCTGAAGTGATTAAAATAAACTAGTAATTTGGGTTTTTCTGTTTGCCACAGACACAACAGTAATCACTGAGCCCAAACTAGCGTATTCCTAAATCCACAAGGCTACTGAGTGGCTACTGGAATCCACGGTGTCACTGCTGAGACAAGTAAAGAAAACGCAGAAGAACAGACGTCTACACCTTACAAGTCAGGGAGGTCCTCAGTTACACAAGTCACAAGTGCAGCGTCCCATTTAGAGCTCAGTGAAGCTCTCCACCCTTCAAGCTACACACATTACACAGTAAAGCTGCTGACAGGCTTAGTGGCACATGTCTGCAACCCCAGCACTCCCCAGCTGAGGCAGGAGACTGACTTTAAGTTCCAAAACCAAACCAAACCCAGGCAACAGAGAAAGGAAGTTGTGAACGAGGCTGTCCTTACAGGGTGTGTGCTGGGCACTGAAAGTGCTAACACAGAGAAGGGGTGTTTCTCACCTGTCACATCTTCAGGGGACTCTGTACCAAAGAGCTTTGGAAAGGGTAAGTCCCTTGGGGGAAAAAGCATAGGATGTGCTGCCCTCAGGGCATCTGCAAAAAAAGATGGAAATGATCCATCTATGTGGGTCAGCTGAAGAATGACAGGAAGGTTTTCGACAAGAAAGAAACAGAGCACTCTCCTGAGCCAAGGGTGGAGACGTGCTGGAGAAGCGACTCTCTTGGGGGTAGATGATCTTCTGGGACATATAGCTGCTACTCTTTCCTTCTGGCTTTTAGAGTTTAGCCTTTAGGACTGAAGAAGGAATCTGCAGAGACTCACGTGCCCCTCTGGAGTACTGGGGTACACAGAGGTAATGGAACACTGAGAGAATGAAGAGCACGGCAGACTGAGGGACAAAGAACCCACCAGAAGAAAGAGCAAATGCTTTCTTGCCAGAGTCCAGGGAAGGGACTGTGTGTCCTCTGAACTTCTCAAATGGAAATGAAACTTAGATCCTATAGAGATTTTTTAATGAAATCTGTCAACACGTTTGTGGGTGGGGGGAACTCCCCCACTTGTAGTGACTGACTTATTCCATGCAGTGGCTACAATTAAATACACTTTCCCCAGGCAATGCAGAACACAGCAGGATGAGGTGAGAAGACATGCAGGTATTGCATTTATGACAAGATGAGTGTGTCAATGTCCAGAGAGACTCTGGTTAACCCCTTCTCTGGGCATGAGTTCCCACTGTAATGGGGCTGGAGTGGGCGGAGCCTTCTGTTGTGCCCTGCATGGTCCATATGTAGGCACCACCACCGCTGCCCGCGTGCCCCTAAGTACTTCTCAAACACTGTGTGTGTGGTAAGTGGTTAACTTGCTTGTTTGGGTCAGATCCTCCTCTCTTCTTCTACCTTCTCTGCTTCTCTGCCTCCCTCTGAACTTCTTCCCTCCTCCTCCTCCCCATTGCGTGCTTGCCAAGTGTCCTGTTGTGTGACAATAAACCCATGGGGTGGATAGAGATTACTCACAGATTTAACAGGACAACAGAATCTTACCACATGAAAATCTAACTAGATCCAACTGCTCTCCCCACCTCCCCATACGACCATACCCACGGACTTGAGTTGCCATACTGCCCCACCACTCTGTAACCAGAAGCCTCAGCTCACCACCTACCTGCTCGGAGTAGTCGTTCCCGTCCACGTCATCACTGTTGGAGTGGCCTCCTGGACTCTGTACGTCTATCCCATGACTCTCCAGGATTGCTGCTTCTTCGAAAAAAGCAAATAGCTCCCTAAATTATCTGCTGCCTCATCACGATAGTTTTCACGGTGAGCAAGTCAGAACATAGTTAATCTGTTTCTAACTATCTGTAAATGGGAGAAATTCAACTCTGTGTAGCTCAGGGTAGAGGCCTGGCTTCTCTACACATTAAACTACCAACCTGGACTGTTGAGTATTCATAAAACTCCTGAAGTCAACAGCTGTCCTGGTGGGCTGTGCAGAGCAAATGAGAACTGGGTGGACCGGAAGAAGCACATTCACAAATGAAATGCAACCGTACTTTCTGTGGTGTTGGGGATCAAAACCAGGTCCTTTCGGTCACCGTGCCACCCCAGCCCTGACACGCAACTTCAACTCTCATCTCACCCACTCAAACCTCACTTTTACTAGTATTGATTGAACAGGACAAAATCCCGTCTTTTCTTCTTTTTTTAGTTGAGCACACATTTTTCCCTCAGGCATTCTCACATGGTCTTCCAGCTTTATTAAGTTGTTGTTGGCCAGTGGAAACTGTTTATGGTATACAGCACAGTATATGTCAATAAGTATACACTGTGAACTGACCAAACCCGATGTTAGATTTCTGATATGCCCTTTATTGCTACTTTTGCTTCTTGTCTGCTGAATCTCTTCTATTCCAGCTACTGATCAGATGTTTCTCAGTGTCTAGGTCATAGCTGTAGCAGTAACCAGCAGACTGGGAGCATCACAGTTCCTTTCTTAGGACCCCCCAGAAATCCTTAATACGAGTCACTTGAGGAAGCCATTGCTCAGGGGTTAATTCTACAATCTAGAACATTAAGAACAATCAGCTTTATAAATAACGAAGTTGTTATTAAAATATAAATAAAATAGTGCAGGTAACACTGACCTCGCTATTAAAAATGCAATGAAGAGAAGCAATGGTCCTTCTTTTCAGCCCTAAGTGTTGGGATCACTTAGACCTGCAGCTCATAAACTGGTCACTCTTATCTCATTTCTAAACTTCTCATGAGAGAAGGCAGTCTCTCTGATACATTACCGATATTGGCTCTCCTCTTGATCTCCTTCCGTCTATTAGCAAACCAATTATAAACTTTCAGAGAGGTAACTCGTTCCAGGTCAGACAGCTTTTTGCCTGTGAATGCATGCAACAAAATTCAGATAACCTGTATCTTAGATCCAAGACTGAACTGTTCTTAAGAAATATTTCTTTGCTAAAAGTTGCTTTTGATTCTATTTATTGCCAAAATAACAGATGGGGTGGAATCTTTTTTTAGCATTGCTTAGCACTAAGAACCCACTAAAATTATTACTGCATCAACAAATACATAAATGAACACACAGCTAGCCACAACTCAAGAAGACATGCTCAATATTTAAAAAAAAAAATCCACCAAGTCCGATTACTAGGATTCCAGATCAAATCATAGTTTCCATGTTAGTTCCAGAGAGGTGTCATTTAAATAGCAGCACTGAGAGGGATGTTATTCTTTATGGACGTATACAGATAAAATCCTGGCATCTTAAGATATATGTTACATTTCATGTACGATAGGAGATACACGTTGTGTTGAAGGCTAATGGTCATGTACCTATCCACTTTGTGACTGTTCTGGAGCACAGTACCGCTCAGGTTAGAGTTCAGATTCCCTGTCCTCTTGGTTACCACAGTTAATTCTTATGGAGATAACATCTGTGCTATCTCCTCCTCTCCTGGCCTCTTGTTTTCAGCTTTTAATAGGTGTGTGTTTTCCAGAGGGAGCAAATCCCTTGCACTGGGACTGCAGGCCTATGCACTCAAGGCCCAGACTCCCCTTACCTAAAGGTAGACCTGAGTGTGTTGGGTAATATCCCTAGAAGCTGACTTCCTAAATAAAGGAGATTAATCCCCCTCACCGTATAAAACTCTGATATTCACATAGTCTTTAAGCCATCAAAACAAGTGACCACGTGGAAACCAGCTGCTTGTGCCAAGTCTCTCAAGTATGGAGGGGGTATGGTACATAGGAAGTGCCAGAGTGGCTATGGACCTCCACAGGAGACTTCAAAAGGAACCACCATTTAGCCAGGCAGAAGTCACCCGTCCCAGTGTGGGAAGCAGATAGAGTTCAACTCCAAAAAGCTGCCCCACAAAGGAATACAGCTCACACAATTTTATAGCAATGGTGAACAAAATGGTTTTACATACTTTTATCAATAAAACTTGCTTGAATTTTCACACTTTACCATTATGTCAGAATTGATAAATTTATGCTAAATTTTGGACAAATAAATCCAAAATTAAAAACATAAAAAATTCCATAATTAAAAACAGGGCCTAAGTCTCATGGAGAGTCATAGTGTTGACTACTTCATCCATGTCACATGAACATCAGGAGTACTGCTTGGGAACACTGGGCAGGGACCTGCACGAGGGTGAGTGTACAGACCACTGAATGTAACCGAGCATTGCCCTCTGAGCTCATCTCCTTACCTGGCTTCTGTATGACTGCATTGCAAGCATTGGCAATCTCTTCTCTCTTTGCTTCATCTGGGTATTGATTCTCATTGAAGTAACTGCAGGGGCAACCAACAAAGGCATATTTTACTTTAAATGTGCTCATTAAAATGTCTCCTTTAAGATGTAACTTGGTATAATCCAGGATGTCCGGAAGAACTTTTTGGTGGATAGAAACAGTTGCTAGTGTTGCTATGGTAAGCACTACCTATGTACCTACTGTGCACCTGAAAGGAAGACAACGTAAGGAGTAGATTTGCTTCTTACTTAACTTAAATTACTCTGTACAAGCACAAATGCTATGAATTAGAAGGCTCCTGTCTGCATGCATGCTGGTTCCCATGGGTAAAGAGGAGAACATACATCAGGCTGAGAATATTGAGCACCCACTGTTGAAGAAGGGGCTTCAAGGGATACTTATGTGTTTCATTTTTATATATTAGGAAGTAGATATTACTCTACTCAACAATAGTTAAAACACGAGGCTTGCTAAATCTGTTGTTAGACTGAGCAGACTCATAAAATGTAGGTGGAAACAGAATGCCATTATCAGTGCTACTTTTTCTGACATCTGTGAACTTACAGAAAAAGAGAGCTTTCACGCCTTGAGCCTGGAAGCTGACAATCAGGCAATGACCTTTACTGGATTCTAGTACCTACCAAATCTTCCTTTCCCTGGAAATCAGCCAGTTAGCAATGGCAGAAAGACCACTCATTGCCCAAATTCCTTAGAGGTCCCTCTCCTCCTAAAAGCCTGACCTGTCGCCTTCTCCTCCCTCGAGGTCTCTATATGGACAGCACACCTTCCCTTCAGTTTGGGTAAAGCTGTTGCCTCATTCCTCCATCTTCTTTTCTAAAACATAAGCCTCCCAGCCATACGCTCCCACCCTTGTCTCTGACCATGTTCTATATGGTTCCTTACTGTTTCCCTCGGTGTAAGCATCTCCTCCTGCATGGTCCTTGGAGTGCCAATGTTCATTTTCAGACCCTTCCAAGCTACCATGCTCGAGGCTGCTGCATGTCCATGCTGTCCTGGCCTCTGTGTTTACTTGAACTTTTGGTTAGGCCGTGGCAGCAGCACAGCTTCCATGGCGCAGACTCAGAACCAAACTTCAATATGACAGACAGCCAGGTAACCGGAACACAGACTAACGTCTGAAACGTCACCCAGCTGACTCATTTACCGCCATCAAGGAGCTCACAATCTACTCGGGACAGAAGGATATACATAAGTGTGCTTGTGGTGAAAGGTCACAGGATTTGTGTGGTCATGCTTGTGGGAGGAGTCTGCAAAGATGTCACGGGGAAGTCTGAGCTAGGTCTTGAGGACTGGCACTGTCAAGGGCAATGGCAGATGAGACCACGAGATCCCTGGGCACCGAGAAGAGCAGAGTGTGTTAAGAGCACGGGCTTCATAGGATGGTGTGATGAGATCAGTGCTAGTGCCGATCACTTCGTCAGGGGAGAGGGGACAAGCTGGCAATGCACTTGCTCTGTCCTCTAGGAATGAAGGGCCATCCACTGAAAACCAGGTTTTCATACAACAGAAACATGATTCTACCTGTGCTTTATAAGAAGAGAACATGCCTCCAAATGTATCGTTCTGAATTCTCCCTCCATGACTTTAAATTCTGAATTCTCCAGTCAGCCTCCTCCTAATCTACATCTCTGCAAACTTTAGCCTTCATCTTCCCAGCAGTCACTAATCCTGTAATTGTTTCTCCTCTCCTAAGTTAAAAATAAATGTTTACTACTTCTAGGCGCAGCCCTTACTTCTTGCCCAAATGACAGACAAGCCAAACTTGTCTGAGAGGAAGGGAATTGTACTAATGAGTTGTTCTGTTCTGTGATCCCGCCCTGCAAATCTCCTGCTGCACAGCACCTTCCCTTTTATTCCCATCCTCCTTGGAGGACCGAGTGTTCCCGAACACCACACAACAGCGCCAAGCGGATTCTTCCTCTGATGGAATTCTTTCATGACTCGTTCCTCTGAAACCTTTCTACTCTGAAGTCTCAAGCCCTCAAAGCCACCACTGTCCGTCTTTCTGTAGATGACCTTGCCTTCGCGGTTATTGGTTTGCTAGATTTTTTAGCTTCTGAACTGCTAAACTTCCCTAGGCCATTATTCATTTCTTTTCTCATAGCCAAGAAAACATAAATCATTCCCCTTTTCAAGGTCAACTTTTCTACTTGTCCTTAATTGTATCCCCTCTCCCTCTCATTTTCTCGAATTCTTTCTTGCATTTTTCAGCTGTTCTCTGTACCAATGTGAAGATCTTTTTTCACATATTTCATCATGCACATTTCATCACTGTGACCCTTGAAATCACGACACATCTCTTAACTGGGAATATTGTTTTGCTTTTTCCTCTCTCACTGGCATGTACAGTAAGGTGTACCTTACAATTAAGGCTTTGTCAGGCTGGATGGAAAACAGTGGCTGCCAAGACCTAAGGTCCCATTTAAGTGACAATTCTATGATCAGTATACCTTATAACTCTTTGGCCAAATAACCTGAAAGACCATGACTGATTCATATTCCTCACACATTACTTAGGTTCAAATATTTTCAGAGGTTTACTATGGAGGCTCGGGATTGCCTCACCACCTCCGTCATGCTGTGGCTGCCATATAAGTAAGAAAGAGAGTAAGCCTGTGCCTGTCTCCTGCCAGAACACCTGCCTTTTGCCTTCCTCCAGTGTGAATGGCCTGAGAAATGAGTTTTCGTTACCAAGCGAGTCCTATAGGAACTCATCTGCTCCTTCCTCACAGCTCTTCCATCTTGTACCTCCTCCTCATCCACAGAAAGCACTGAAACCCAGGCCAGACTCCACCTCAGCTGTCTCACAGACGCTGGGGTCACAGGAGTGTATGGCTAAGCCCAACACAGAACACACATAGCTGTAAGAGGCCTTTATCTCTGCCGAGCAAGAACGATGCATAGAGCAGGAAATAAAACGCTGCTGACATGGCTGGCTTCCATAATGTGCTTCGCAGAATTCTCTGCAGGGTTTTCGAAGTGAACGAACACATTTTTACAACAAAAGGACCTTGGGGAAACACTGAAATAATTAAGAACCAGTTTGATGATTAATACAATTCTGTAGACAATTCATGCTCTAAAGTGGATTGGGATCAGGTAGAAGGCATTAGTATTGTGATGCAGTGACTAACAAAAAAAAATTGCCATACTGGTTTTGGGAGCTAAATTAAAATTTTCAGTTACTCCAGGCATAATGTTTTCTATTAACTCGAAGTTTTAGAGTTCTCTTTTAAGCTGTATTTCCAGGATTTAAATGCATACAATGAAGATCAGAGTAAGGAGACCCCAGTAACTTCTCTCAAATCAAGACCTCAGGAAAAGGATAATTTATTCATATAATCTAAGCCATATTTTTGAAAAAGCAGCATTTCCCCCTCTTTTAAAAAAACCGTTGCTATTGTTTTTTGAAATTATATGTAGCCCAACATTTATGTCTGCGCACTGAGGTCAGAAGAGGGCGTTGGTCCGCTGGAACTAGAGTTACAGATGGTTGTGAGCTGTCTGTCGTGTTGGGGCTGGGAATTGAGCCTGAGTCCCCTGGAAGAGCAGCCAGTGCACTTAACTGCTGAGTCATAACTCCAGTCCTATTGTTTATGATTAAGAAATATTCTGCTTAACCTCACTGCTGAGCTCTGGCTAACGTTTAAAGAATTAACACAAATTGTTCATAAATCATTTCAAAATCTGAAGAGTTTTTCTAAATTCATTATAGAAGATTTGTACTATCCCAACACCCTAGTGACCACAGATAACATAGAAAAAACAAAAAAAAACAACACAAAACAAAAAAAAAAAACCCATAAAATCCTTCAGTTAACATCCTGCAAATGGAATCTAGGAGCACATTAAAAAGACTACTTATCACAACCAAGTTGGAGACATCCCAGGGATAAGAGCCTCCCATAGAGTGAGGGACAAAAGCTGTATGATCATCTCACTGGGTGCATAGAGGAAATCTGGTAAGATCCCAATATCTGTTCATTTCTGACACTTATCATTTCTTCAACAGGAGATGAGGTAAGTCTGTGATGATGGGTCAGGTCTTACCCATCACTTTTTCATGGGGACCTTAGATCTTAGCTAGCAACCACTGTTTCCATCCAGTCTTGTTACGGGAGGTCCTCCCACTCCTCCAGCCTATCGCCGCTGAGATACCAGCCCATTGGGGCGTGGTCTCTCTCCCTTTAAAAAAGCGGCCACTTCCCTATCCTCTCTCTCTTCACTTCCTGCTCCGCCCGGCGACTAGACTCCCTTCCTGGTTGCGCAGAGGGCTGACGGTGATCTGTAAGTTTTTTCCCCTTTAAATAAATACCACCCTATTAATCATAATTCCAAACTGGTGTGGCATTGTTTATGACTTACGCCTTCACAGTCTAACAAAACCTTGGTTGTAAGCAGAAGAATGAACTGGATACCACCAGTTAAAAGAATATTCAAATCAAAATTAAATATAAGACTTGAAGCCAAAAAAGCACTAGAAGGAAAATTAAAGTGCTCTGGAACATCAAAATGAACAAGGATTTCCTGGACAAGACCCCCAATACAGCAGGAAGTAACAGCAAAGTGAAGAGACAAGCTACGGAATCAGAGAAAACGTCTGACAAAGTGTGGTGATATTTAATTTGTATTTTAATAAATAAAGCTGGCCTGAAGTTCAGAGCGTAAAACAGACACACCAATCAGCCGTACAGACCAGGCAGTGGTGACAAACAGCTTTAATCCCAGTAGCCACACTAGATTGCCATAGAAACAGGGTAGTAGTGGTAGTAGTAGTAGTAATGCCTTTAATCCCAGCAGCACTAGAGAGGAATATAAAATGGGAGGAGACAGCTCTCACACACAGTCTCATTCGGAGATTCCTGGAGGCAGGAGCACCATTTTGAACTAAGAATCAGTGGCGGGCTGTTTTGCTTTTCTGACCTTTGGGTTGAACCCCAATTTCTGTCTCTGGGTTTTTACTCATCGTGCTACAACAAGGATTGACTCTAAAATATATAAGGAACTTGAATCTCATCC